ACATTATATATTCTTTATAATTTACTTTTTGAAGATTAGCTTTTTCAAATGTTGACCGCAGCTAGGTCTCAGATGACTTCTTCTAAACAAAAAAAATTCTAGCAATACCCAAAATATTACTAATAATTTCTTACTGTAATAACACACGTTTCCCTCCCTTACTTATATACAGCAGATATRAATGTTTTCACAAATTAGTATCTTGCTAATCACACGTGGCGAATAATTTGCGCTACTCAAACTATTAATGGCGAATTTTCTGTTTTTTTTTTATTATATTTTCTTTGTTTTGTCTATTTTGACTTTCACTTTTCCAATGAATTCGGTGAATTGTTTCAACGCCTCTCCATTGTTTCATGGCCAATACTAAAACAATGCTCGGCTGTGCACTCGCGTATCAGTCTGCCCCTCATCACTCCACTCGAGTGTCGAGTTTTGACACATTATTATCTTAATGATGTGCCTGTCTATCAAAAAATTACCACTCCAACGCATTGTTTTATTTGATTTCTTTTGTTTTTGTCTGTGCGCGATTCAAGCGAAATTATTAAGAAAACTTATGGAAATCAGTGAATAATTGCGATTTTCCTATGAAATAATTTTCCAACAGAATTTCTGGAGTCAAGTGCAAGTGAATCACAACCTTGATTAACGCTTCCCAGCTGTTTACTGGGAATTTTTCCAGAAAATCCAAATAATTATATAAATAAAATCTAGTCCTACAGTAACTAGTTTGTTCTTTTTGAAATAGTTTAGATCCAGTTATAAAAGATAATTTAATTGTATAAAGTTCGGTCTGGTGAATAGATTTGAGATAAAATTTTAATATTAGTTGAATACAAAAACTGGGTTCAATATTGGATTCAAATAGCTGTTTCACTAAACTTTTGAAATCTTAATTTTAATTCAATGACTGAAAACTAGTATTGAAGTAACTAGTTCCATTTCGATTTGTAACTTTGAGGATCAGATCTAGTTCTCAAGTAGTTAGTTCAAGAAGCTAGGGTGAATTTAAAAAAAATGTCCATTGTTTCAGAAATTATTATACCCWGAAMAGGGTACATTAAGTTTGTYACGAAGTTTGCARCACCCAGAAGGAAGCTCGGATACCCTATAAAGYATATATTATATATAAATGRTCAGTATGTTGAGCTGAGTGGATTTAGCCATGTCCGTCTGTATATATACGAACTAGTCCCTCAGTTTTTAAGATATCGTTTTGAAATTGTGCAAACATCATTTTCTCTTCAAGAACCTGCTCATTTGTCGGATCTGCCGATATCGGACCACTACAACATATAGCTGCCATACAAACTGAAGGATTGGAAACAAGTTCTTGTATGGAAAGCTTTC